CGATGACATCCTGACCCCCGCCGATAACTGGGATCAACTATGTGAGGGTTGCTCGAAGCATGTGATAAGTGGAATCTGTCGATCTGTGTGGTTAAAAGTTTCTGGGGGATGCCCAAGGTGGAATATCTGGGTCATAAGTTCTCCCACAATGGACTGGAGGCGAACCCGAAAGATCTGTCGGCGCTGACGGATCTAGTATTTCCTGGATCCCTTCGAGCCATGCAGTCATTCTTGGGAAGTCTGAACTACTCTAGTCCATTTATCGAAGACTACGCGATCTATGCGTCAGTTCTGTATGAATTGCGAGAACTTGACTTTGTGGTTATGACAAAGGAGGCTACCCAAGCGCGGATCCAACAAGTACTGGAAGTGGAGGACGCAGATCAAGGATCGCAGGGAGACCGGGGTGGCGACCATCGAAAAGCCTTGGATCTGGAGGCGTCCAACCCTGTTGAGGTGGATCCGCGTTGGATCCATGCCCATCGGTCCTTCAACGTGCTTAAAATCAGGATTGCTACCACTCCGATCTTACGACATTTTGACCCAGATCGGAAGGCCACTGTACGCTAGTGATTGGGCCATCTCGGGAGCATTGATGCAAGAATACGACTAGATCTACCTCGTGACGTTTGCGAGCCGTACTCTGAAGTCGAACGAGCTAAACTATGGGATTGCGGAGAAGGAGGTATTAGCCCTTCTGAGGATCCTGGATCTTAACTATAATGCGCTGGTCGGGCGTCCGATCCGTGTGTTGACCCGACACTCTACTTTGGCGTGGCTCTTCAGATCCAAAGCCTTGCAGGGACGTTTAGGTCAGTGGCTCTGTTGTCGCCTTGGACACTTGAGATCACCAAGTGTGTCAAAGGAGAGGATGAGATCTTGGGAGCACTAGCAGCCAGTATTACCCCTAGATCAGAAGTGGATAAGGCGTTGGTCTCAATCACCCCCAAAAAGGAGCCAAGGCGTACGATCCAAGCTCCGATCCCCACTATCGGGCGAGATGAGGAGCTATATGTCGTCAGTTTCGATGGATCAGCCCGTGTCAAGAGAGGTGGAGGCGCCTACAGCGCGATCTTGTGGAAGCTTCCCGAATGGACAGTGTTGAAAGCTAGATCAGGATATGCCGAAGGCTTGACGGTGAATGAGGCGGAATACCATGGTCTGCTACTATGTCTGGATCTGTTGGAAGATATGGATCCACAACGTCTGGTGATCTGCGGAGACTCGAACCTGGTGATCCGACAAGTACGAGGAGAGACCGATTGCAAGGCGCCGGGTCTTACACTGTTACGTCAGCGAGCCTTGGATCGACTATGTACGTGGTCAGATCACCAACTATTGCACGTCAAACGAGATTGGAACGGGAGTGCTGCAGTCTAGCGAGTGCTGCTCTGCAACGGCAATGTGGGATCGAGATAGAGTGTGACGCGGAGATCCAGGATCTCATAACGTTAAATCGGTTGGATGAAATTCTGGTACTGAATGCCGAAGAAGAGATCGCACAGGTGTCAGCTGTGACGACCCGATCTAAGGCTAGATCGGGGGTGCGTGTGGGATCTGATCCAAATTCCCTACGAGAAGAGGTCGTGAGAGAGCTGCGGATTGAACGGATCCGTCAAGCGCAGGACGAAGAGTCGTGGATCATGGGCTTGAAGAAGTATTTGGTCGGGGAGATTGATCCAGGATAAGGCTAAGATGTTTGGATCTATTGCTATGAATTATGAAGTGGATCAGTTGGATCTACTCTTCTATTGCCCGACAAGTAAGACAACTGCCGCAGCTCGAGACAAGCTGATGCGACTAGTGATACCTGAGACTCTTCAACAGGATATTGTGCACCACTATCATACGAGTCTGCAGGGTGGTCATCAAGGGGTCGGTCGCAACTATGATCGGATCCGTGATCATTTCCACTGGAGAGATCTGTATAAGCGTGTACAAGCGATATGTGGGGGAATGCGTCGACTGTGAGACAGGCAAGGGAAGACCTCGGATCCAAGGTGAGTCGCCTGGTAACCTTCAGTCAACGTACCCATTTCAGATCATTGCCATGGAGCATATACGCTCGCTGCCTAGATCCTTCAACGGCAACACTGAATTGTTGATCTTCGTGGATCTATTCTCAGGATATGTGATCGCCAAAGCCAGCGCCTCTAGATCCGCTCAAACAATCGCCGAGACTTACGAAGAGTGTGTCTTTCGTCGATTTGGCGCGAGCGAGGTGATCCGACATGATCGGGAGCCAGGCTTTATGTCTGATTTTTTAAAGTCGTTCAACAAGATCCTGGGACAACGTCAACGGGTTACTATGGCATATAGACCCCAAGCTAATGGATCTGCAGAACGTATGG